GCAGCGCGGGCGGGGCTCACACCACAGACGGCAACGGAAATAAATAGGGGGCGGTGGGGCCAGGGCCGGGGCCAGGCCCCCGCGCCGCCCCGGGGCCTATGTACAGTGTCGCTCTCCTCGCGTGGTGGGGCGGCCGTCCGTGGGGCGCGGCGGAGCTGCCGAACGCACAGACACCGGCGCCGGGTGGGTTGGAAACGGCTATAATGTGTGACAGCGCGGCCGGCGGGCGGGCGGCGCCGGCCCTCCAGGGCCGCGGCTAGTACTCGTCCTGGTCCTCGGGCTGCGCCGCGTCCAGCTCGTCGTCCTCGGGAGGCGCGAAGCCTTCCTGTGGGGGCAGGGGCCAGGGGGGGGGCGGGGCGCGGGGGCGTCCCGGAGCCACGGCTGCCGGGGCCCGGAGAGCTGGCGGCCGGGGAAAGGTGTCCACGGGGAAGAGCCCACGGGGACCTGGGGCCCACGGGCAGGAGCAGCCGCAGCCCTGGGGGGGCGGGGGAGGGAGCTGCAGGGTCACATCCAGTCCAACTTTGGCCTGAGGCAGGATCAGCCCCGTCCCAACCCTGTGTCCGACCTCGGATCCACACGACACTGTCACCCCCTTGACACACACAGCCCCAGGCATCACCCCTGGGCTGCAGGGGGGCCATGGCCCCCCACATCCTGCTGCTGCCAGGGGGGTCATGGATGCTGCAGAGACCCCAGGTTGAGGCCAAGCCCCCAGTGCGACCAGTTGGAGCAGGGGGGAATCCCTTCCTGCCCCAGTGCAGCGTGTGGCTGAGCCCGAGCGCAGGACGAGACCCTCCAGCCAGGACCCCGCGGGCTGGTCCCAGCAGGAGCACTGGTGCAGCCCAGCCCCATCCCCAGCGCCACTGGGGGAGGGTTAGAAAGCCCCTGGCGCATGGAGCAGCAGCGGAGGAAAGCACTGGGCCGACGCCTCGCCCAGCCTGGGCTGCTGCCCCCTGCTCCCACCCCTGGGTCCTGCCCAGGCAGCTCCATCCTTGGGCCTCATGACTGCCTGCGCCCAGTGCTGCACAGCCACTGCCGTGGCCGCGGGGCGTGGACTGGGGACCCCTGCTCCGGACCCTCCCAGCTCACGGCATCAGCCCCGGCCCCAGGGCAGTGCTGACCTCGGTGGCGTAGAGGATGGTGATGATGCCGGCGATGACAGAGCTGTTCTCACTCTCGTGCTCCTGGCAGATGAGCTCGATGTCCCGCAGCTTGCTGAAGTAGAAATCCCGCTCCTTCTCCAGCCCGTCCACCGTCAGCTTCAGGTCCATCAGCTGGGGCACGGCAGGGCGGAGGCATGAGGCTCAACCCTCGCGCCCTGCGCCTGGACCCCCGCCCCGGCTGCCCCCCGCACCTGCTGGTTGAGCTCGAGAATCTGGGCATCGG